GGACACTTGTTGGGCGGCAGGAGGCGCGTCAATCCATCGGCGTTACCATGCTGCCGCGTGGCACGGTGGTGGATGTCGAAGTCATAGTCTTGCAGACGCACCGCCCACCTGCCCAGCGTCCCCGTGTAGTCCGTGTTGTTGCGTAGGGACAGCAGCGGCTGATGATCCGTTACCAGCACGAATTTCTGGCTGTAAAGATACGGTCGGAAATGCTGGATCCCCCACACCACCGCCAGGCATTCGCCTTTGCACGCTTCGTAATTAGCCTGCGCCTGGCTCGGCGTCTTGGACGCATACTCAATGACGTGTTCCCTTYYGTCCGCCCCGTGCTGAGTCAGCACCGCCGATATCGCCTGAGGCTGCCAGTCGGTGTACAGTGCGAACGGTCTTGTCAGGTCGGGACGCGCCAACACAGGAGCAGATGTCAGAGCCTCCTTCAACGCCTGAAACGCCGCTTCGCATTCCGGTGTCCAGATCAGTTGTTCCTCTTTCTTCAGCAGGTTCGTGAGGGGCTTCGCTATACCGGCGAACCCCTTGATGAAGCGTCGGTAATAGGATGCTAGCCCTAGAAAAACCCGAACCTGGGTGAGTGTGACCGGCGCCGGGGCTTCTTGAACTGATGCCACCTTCCTTGGATCCGGTTTTAGTCCATCGACCGTGACGATGTACCCCAAGAATGAGATCTCCGACAAGAAGAACTCGCTTTTCTCCAAGGCCACTTTGAACCCTGCATCCTTTAGTGAATCCAAAACCCACTCAATGTGTTCCACGTGGTACTCGTGTATTTTTGAAAAGACCAAAATATCGTTCATGTACACAATCACGCAAAAATTGATCAGGGGCTGGGTTAGTCGGGTTTTGTTAACGAACTCAGCGAAGGCCATATTCATGGCCCGCTGCAACGTTGCAGGGGCGTTACAAATTCCCATGGGACACCGGACCCATTGCCACGTGCCCTCAAATAGGACAAAAGCGGTTTTGGGTCGGTCCTCCGGTCGGACTGCGACATGGTGAAAACCGTGTCGGATATCGAACTTGGAAAAGACTCGCGCGGCCCCGATAGCATCTAACAAATCGTCGATTCGCGGCAAGGGATATACATCTTTGGTAGTGATAGCATTCAATTTCCGGTAGTCGATACATACCCGGACCGAACCATTTCGTTTTGGCACGAGGACCACGAGAAAAGACCACGGTCCTAGGGATGGTTTGACCCACCCCAACGGCTCGAATTCCCGTACCCTTTCCAACGCCATCTGTCTTTCTTTAAGGGAATATCGGTACGGTCGGCAATATATCGGGGAGTGATCCCCGGTATCAATCGCGTGTTGTATTAAAGGGGTTAGCCCTATGTCATGGTTTTGAATACTGACGGCCTCAAGATAGGCCCGTATAACCGCCAGGAGGAGGCGTCTGTATTCATCCGGAACACGGGCTGGCAACTGAACTTCTACGGTTCCCCCAGGAAGGGAGACCGTCGTCGTAACCGTGGGGACCGCCGTGCTGGCATCGGGCGAGGCCCCAAACAAAGAGTTGTCGGTTTTCGCCGAAAGGATAGTCGCAATAAGTTGATTGTCCGCCAGACTCACCGGCTCGCTTTCCATGTCACTGTCACTGTCCAGTTCGGGTTCGGCCGAGGGTTCTACCGAAAAGGTCTGCGTCAGTTCCCTCGGGCCCCACCGATATTCCTTTGTTTGGGGTTGAAACGACACCCCCTCTTTCAGGAGTATCGTGGCTTTTTCATTCGTGAGTAGGGGCCGTGGAGGTTGAAAAGATAAATCTTACAGCCCCCTAAGCTCGGTAAATCTTTCAAGTAGGGGGTCCGTCCCGAGATACAAGAACGCAGGGGGTTCCGAAAGATCAGCTATTCAGAACACCCTCAACAGGGGTTTCCCCTGCACCACGGAGGAGAACGCGTGCAACCAATTGAACTCGCTCCGAACAATTTCCAGTGGTTCTCGCCGCCAAGAATGGCGCCACCGATCCTTAACTCGGATCGGATATCGGTCGGGTACATCAGTCTCGTCAGTTTCCATCGAGGGTTCATTTTCGTCTCGTGACAGGCGTCGGATCATATTGATTTGATGGGCTTTTGTGGTGAGTCGATGCGCCGGCTGGGTGCGCATGCGCACCGCCAGTCTCATTGGTATCGTTTGGAGTTTGGCGTGGGCCGATGTGAGCACCACCTTACAACAGTCAAAGTGCATTCGCGCTCCGACCGCCGCCTGCCACGGAATGCCTAGCAGAACATCGTACGCTTGTACATCCAGCACGATTAGGTCGCACAAACAATGCACCCGCCCCACCTGTATAGGCACGTTCGTTATTCGCCCTTTACAATGAATACTGTTTTCCGTAGCGGATATATACAGTTCATCTGGTCGGAGGGGCTGAACCTGTCCTTCCCTTCCCAACTGTTTCGTCAATCTCCAAGAAATGGCGACCGCTGGCGATCCTGAGTCTAGGATGGCGGCCGAGGGATTTCCCCAGACCTCGCAGTCACACTCAACGCTTTTCCAGATTATAGGATAGGCTCGGAGGAATACCTCGGGTTTTTCCGAGGCAGAGTCTACGGTCTGGATCATTCCTATCCGGTCGGCTTCGTGCACCTTTGAGGTCGAGGGCTGCGACTCCTCGTTTGTGGGTAGGTCCCGTAGGACCGGCTTTTTGTCCTTTCGACTTTCCTCGAATCGGCGCCTGTTCTTGAGGCATCGTTCGATCAACTTTTCGTTAGCCGCTTCGGAAATGGTTAGCAGATAGGGAATAGGGACGGGGATCCGAAGATCCAGAGCCTTCAAGGCATCCAATACGTCGATATGGCCATCCTTGTATTCAGGACCAGGTGCCGCAAGGTCTTCGAATCCTGGTCGCCACGGCCCGAGGTCGCTTTCCTCGGTAATCCGTTGGACGGGGCGTATCACTCCAATGGTCCCGAGTTCGAACATCGCCGCAGCCATGTATTCATCGGGCCCTATCTCGGTGGCCACAGGGGTCAACATATCCGTTGCCCCGGTATCCATCACCGTGGCCACCCTCCCCTGTCCTGCAGCGGTTGGAGCAGCCAGCGGGATTTGGGAAGGCCCAGCGGGCCCGCCCTGAGTTCGAGGTTTCGGACAATCTTTCGCAAGGTGACCTGGCTGATTACAGTTATAACAGTGTAGGGGCGGGACAGCCCCGACCACGGCTGGTCTTATCATAGGGGCCTCGGCGGCCATAGCCGCTTGTTGCCGTTGTGCGGCTACTAGGCGTTGCCGCTGCAGGCCCTGAACAAACTCCGTCAGCGGGGCCACTACCGTAACTAATTGGGCTGCGACCTCTTTCATGGACACTTCTTCTCACCCCGGCCTCCTTGTGCTTGACTAGAGCGACAGGAGGTCGAAGCAGAGGAAAAAGCTTTCCGATCCAAGCCTTTTTTTGTCGGAGCCAACCCGAAGCGATCTTCGAACATTCGTGCCGTAGCGGAGTAGCTATTGCGTCGAACCCCCCAAGGGTCATCCTCGTCGGATTCTGAGTCCAGGCCCAGATCATAATTTTCTTTCCCGTACTTAATTGCGTACTGAATTAGCTCCGTCAGGGTATGTTCTATAGGGTTGCATTTCTTGCGGATCTTTTTCCGCAGACGAGAATCTGACAATCCTCTGACGAAATCACTCCGTACCATTTTCTCGTCCACCCCGGAGCGTTCGGCTAGGTACGTAAAACGTTCAGCATATCTAGCCAAAGTCTCCCGAGGCTGCTGCGTGTATTCCTTTATTAGACGGAGGCATTGACGTGGTGCGATGTGGTCAAATCTGTCGGGAAATTTCCTCTGGAAGGCTAGCCAATTAGTGAAGGGGTTATGTCCATACCACTCAAAAGCGGTTTCGGCTAACCTTCCGGTGATTCGTTCTCGGAGCAACTGGTCCGACCAGCCCTGGGCTTTCAAGGCAGCTAGCCAGGTGCGAGGGTCGGTATCATCTTCGGAGAAAATGGGAACTTCGGAAGGAGGAGGTACAAAGTACAGGGGATGATTGACCATCCCCGCGTGGTTATCACCGTCGTTTTCACCCCCAATTCCGGGTTCCACCATCGCAGGAGGCGGGTTTCGAGCCCGACCTCTCGCTCGGTTCTGATTGCTATTCGCGGGCCGCCGGCAACGGGGAGCCAGCCTACTCAAAAATGAGAAAAATCTAAAAAGAAAGATCAGAAAAAAGGAAAATTCTTAAGCAGGGTATTCGTCCTAGGAAAACCTCGGAGCCGAAACGAGTCAGCTCTGATACCAACCTCACGCCCCCTCGCAGCTTCCCGTACTGGATCGTCGATCAGAGTTCTAGGAGGGGCGTGGCCGAGGATTTTTGGCCGTCGGGGTTGAGTCTCCCGGACGGAACGGGAGGCTCTCGTTTCGTGCCAGAGGTTACCCTGGAGTCGAACTGTCGTCGCGAAGTCCCGTGGGGGGGGGGGAGTCGAATCACTCCAAAACGATAAAATTAGAAGGGTTTCCACAAAAACGAATTGCCGTCGTGCATCAGGATGGAAAAAGGCACCAAGGGGAGAAGGCCATGGCGGCGGAAGACAGAAACTCCGACCGTCATGGGCTTGAGGGATAGGTAGTGGGTTCGAAGCCTTCAGGCCTCGTCATCGACCTCGTGAAGTGACCGGACCGTCGGGTTTTTGCTGTAGAAGGGGTTGGTTCGAGGCCTTCAAGCCTCGGCGTCGGACTCGCAAAGTCCGCGTGGAAGTTTCCGAGAGGGTGAAATGGCGGGAGGACTCGCCGGCATCCGGATTCGAAATTGCGCGGGCAGCGCCCCCGCATTACGGGAGAGATCGGGGAAACGTGTCGCTCCCTCGTAACCAAGGACCAAGCGTTGCCAAGAACACGAGTCCCCCTGGCGACACCAGCGACAATCAAACTGCGGCCGCCACGCAGCGTGAGCGGCCGACCAGGGCAACACCGTCAAACCCGTATAAGGCAATATTAGAGTCGGGGAATCAAAGCGATCAATCAAGGCAAGCCCGTTCCCCCCTATATTACACGCCCGGGGCGGGTCTTGCCAACACACTTGCTCCGTCCGTCTCAGCGCGCGCCATACATCCGCATCGCAGTAGACGCTGTCGTCATCTGCAATGGGGAAGGTCGGTAGTGAGATGAGACGATCGGAGGTGAGCGATGAACACGGGCAAAATCCCACGCTCCCGGTCATCCGAACCAACACCGACTCCATACAACACTCGACACAACTCTTCTCCCTCAAGGTGGGTTCGTCGGAAGAAGATGACGAAATCTAAGCTCCCTTSCCCTTGCGGGGGCGTCGACCGCGCGYGCGGACGCAGGCRGTTGACGTCACCGGTGCAGGGACGAGAAGTTCYAAAAGCGATGACTATCAGTTCAAMAAGAAAGGCGATAGAGAGGGAGAGAGTGAGTTACGCSGAACCCGCTTTGCGCGCAGGAAAGRCCGCGGAGGGGAGGGRAGCAACAGGATCAACACACTCGTACTCCTAAGCAGACGGTCCCCCAGTTCAGTTTCCCYGYCCCCRCCCGGACAAGTACATACACACAGACATGCATGCAATCAACAACCCTTGAYARGACATYTAATCATCCATAGACCTTCGACATCACTCATGCGCACAACCAGCTCCCATCACTCGGGGCTTCACACACACGACATGCATAGACAAAGCAGCAATGGAGATAAAAGCGAGTCCTTCTTGTACACAAAAATTTCAATTAACTGCCGCCCCTAGGCGCAGCCTTCAAAACCTCCCGAGACCACTGACCACCATAGCCACAAGGCCCTGCCGCAGCCAGCGTCCAATCCCCACCACTGCTCAGTCCCTCCGACTGCTTCGCCCCGAGACTACCGCGGGCCCACCCCACGTCGTCACTCCGCCCGTCCTTGGGCTCGTCAAGCCTGTTCGG